TGTATTAATTGTTTTGTCGACACACCCGCAGGCAAATGGCCAAATACCACAGGTAATGCAGTAGCGTTTATTTGACTGAAATCCGGACCAAACAAAAGAAAAACTATATTGTCGCACACAATAGTAGCCGTAGCTGGCGTTCCACAGAAGTTGTTTGTTAAGAAATTAAATAACGCATTTCTTGGTAAAAATTCATATAAACCGAGCGCTCGTAAGTTTGCCCATACAAATGGATATATAGAACTTATTATTTTTAAAATTGGACTTTTGGTATGAGATAAATATGACACCGCTGATAGTGCTACCATCAGTTTTATTTTATCATTGTATTCGGGTCTCTCCGAACATAAAACGAAGTAAGATGTCGTGCCCTGTGAATGTCCTACATATACCAGTTGTTCCTGGTTAGTTACATTCAAGGCATAATCGATCATGGCCGGCAGATCGTAGCGTCCGATTTCATCCCAGCTAAAATCCCAGAATTCTGCGCAAGATGGCGATAGACTGACATGACTTCTGGAGTGTTTGTTGCCACGAGCATTACCCAGCCACACATCATAACCAGCATCAGCAAGTAGGTATGCAAGACCTACACCAGGACCAGTACTTACGAAATCATCAGAACTACAAAATAATCCATGCATTAGAAACACAACGGGACCATCACTTGGTATCCGGAACGTGGTCAGGAGATAACCATCGCTGGTCTCTACCACATGTTGTTCTGCAGGGTACCCATATTTAATTAACAACTGGGTAATGTTTAGATCTATGTCTTCATTATAAGTTGTCGACTTAAACTCATTGTAGACGGATTCAATTGCCGTAATGTTGAAGAATTCATCTGGTGCTCCAGTGTTCGCATAGTCTGCAATGTCTTCAAATATTTCATTAGGGACTTCCGCCGTATTTTGGTCAAACCAACTACAATTTTCACCGTGCGTGCTTTTTAATATCACACATAATAATAGGTATAAAACTTTACGCATTTTCATTTTACACACTATTGGCTAGCTAGTGAACAGACTTAGCACAGCTTCTTCATAAATAGTTATCATCTGAATGAATAAAAATTGAATGATTAATTCAATTTTTATACTAGTTTGGTTATCAAATATTAACTACAATCTAATGCTTTTCCGTAAATAAAGGGCTTAAGTTATTAGACACTTTTATCTTATCTATATACCACTGTTTATTCTATTACCCTCTTCAATTAATTAACCATTATATTATGTATATAAGATCAGTGCTATGATTATGTAAAATTTGGTACCAATTTTCATCAGACAGAGAATAGTCGGTTTTTTTTTTATTTATTTATAACACTTTATTACACCAACCTAAAAAGGACATTAACAAAATTAAAACACAAAACATAAAACTAAGTACAAAAGGCGGTCTTATCGCTAATGCAATATCTTCTAGAGAACTTTTGGAAAGAGAGTTTTTACAAAAAATAGAGTAGGTGGCACATGAGTGGAAATATAAAATTATAAAATACACTTATGTTAAATAAAATAGTTATAAGAATGTACACAGGAATGTGTTTTAAGAAATGAAGTACTACTAGTATATAATACACAAATTTACATGTATGCATACATATGAATATACTTATAATATATGTTTATAATTATCCATAATTTATTTGTTGCAGTATAGTACTAGCACATGACAAAAAACAACATTAATTCATTCTACATAATCAAGTAGCAAGACTCTCTTTTAAATATATTTCAACATTCTTTTATATATATATATCAATCTTTTACCAACTTTCGTCATAATTATTATTTTTTTTTTCGTCATTTGCTTTTAAATGACTGACCACATTTATTACAAATAAACTTAAAGGGATTTGGCAATGCCTCTGCTACAGTCCGACACGAAATTTATAATATTTTTCTTTCTTAAATTTCGTCCTACATAATTATGTATGGTTTTACTGGTGCTTTATCTGCGACTTTCTCATCAGCATAAAACGTGAAACACCATAACATAGAAAATGCCAGATAACAAATATATCTCACATCTGTCATTTTATGTCTTGTAATATATCATGTCACTAAGGTGTTACAATCATAATTTATATTAAACAAATGTACTTAAGTTTTATTAGCATTATATATAGATAAATTAGTTTGAATTTTGCGTTTTATGTACTTAGATAACGCATTAATTGCCTACATACATGTAGTAAGTACTACTGTTGCTAACTTTATGAAATTATTCCAAACATCAAGTACTAGCTACTCGCCCCGGCTTCGCACGGGTGTACATATATTATATATATAAACCTTCCTCTTGAATCACTCTATCTATTTAAAAAAACGCTTCAAAATCCGTTGCGTAGTTTTAAAGATTTAAGCATACATAGGGACGGACAAACAGCGACATCGACTTTGTTTTATACTATGTAATGATGATTTAAAAAATCTATTCTCTTCGAACTTTAACTGCAAATCTTATTCAATGTGTGGCTTTAATTAAATTCAGAACTTCTGTATATACTAATTCTTTCACATCCCTAGCATATAAATAATCCATGTGTGAAAAACTCTGGAAAGGTACAGTTATAAATTTATACAAATTAGGTAATTTACTTATAAATTTTTGGACATCATTAATATGTCCAAACCAATCATTGTGACTGTAGAATACTGCAACAGGTGATGTTATTTTGTCAATGGGGTAATCAGGAGGCGTGACAGCTCCGTATTTCGCTAAGTTCTTCAGGCTGTAATCAAATTGTCTAAATTTCCCAGATTTTATTAGTTGCGCATAATGCACCATCTGCTTGGTTGCTATACCTGCTGGCAGATGACCATATATAACAGGTAAGGCAGTAGCGTTTATCTGAGCATAATCTGGACCACCCAGAAGAAAAACTAAATTATCGCATATTATCGTAGCAGTTGCTGGAGTTCCACAAAATGTACCTGTTAGGAATTTGATTATTGCATTATGTGGCATAAACTCATATATGCCAAGTTCTTGTGCTGCTTTCCATATAAGTGGATTAATGGAACTGAAAACTCTTATTAGTGGACTTTGGCAATGAGATAAATATGACACCGCTGATAGTGCTACCATCAGTTTTATTTTATCATTGTATTCTGGCCTCTCCGAACACAACACAAAGTAAGATGTCGTTCCCTGTGAATGTCCCACATATACCAATTGTTCCTGATTACTTGCATTCAAGACAAAATCAATCATAGCCGGTAGATCGTAGCGGCCAATTTCATCCCAGCTGAAATCCCAAAATTCTGCGCAGGACGGCGACAGACTAATATGACTTCTGGAATGTTTATTACCGCGAGCGTTTCCCATCCATACATCATAACCAGCATCAGCAAGTAAGTAGGCAAGTCCAATACCGGGACCGGTAGTTACAAAGTCATCAGAACTACATAACAATCCATGCATTAGAAAAACAACAGGACCGTTATTTGGTATCCGGAACATGTTAAGGTTATAGCCATCCTTGGTTAGCACGGTGTGCTGTTCCACAGTATACCTATATTTAGTTAATAACTGTGTTATGTTTAGGTCTTTATCTTCGTTGTATTCAGTCGACTTGTACTCTTCATAAATAGATTCAATTGCTGTAATGTTGAATACCTCTGCTAGTGCTCCGACATTTGCATAGTCTTTAATATTCTCAAATATATCATTAGGAATATTACCAGTGTTTTTCTTGAGTAGGGTACATTTCTTACCATGTATGTTGTTTATTATACATAATAACACGAATAAAACATTTCGTGTTATCATTGCACAAATAATATATTCACACAATAAAATTTACTTCATGAATAGTCAGCAGCAATTTAATTCAGCTATTTTATAAGCCATATGCCCTATTTTTGATAACAAAGTACAAATGTTGTCATGGGAACGTGCGATAGACCAATATACCATATCGTTAGCTTCGCAATGGAAAATCTAATATGTAGAGACATCGTTGGTTTAATAATAAATAATTGACTAAAATAAGTCATTTTAGAAACATAACCCAACCTAATAATATATTCGTAACAGAATGTCTATCTATCTAGTGGCATTGGCACTTAAGAACGTGCGATAGTGCATATTACGATATCACTTCACATTACCTATAAGGTAATAAAAATACAGGTACGCTAGGTACCTGTTATATTTTATATGTGTTTGATACTTAGCTAGCTACCCCGTGCTAACTTGACTTGCATGTACTGAAGAAAATAAGAAATAATAATTCTGTCAATATTCTTTAATATAGCATCTTCTAAACATATTTTTATTTTTTACTTTTCCATTAGATATTTCAATCATTTTTTTTCATACAAACCTTTATCAAATATAAACTATGACAAGATAATTAGACAAATATATGTAGTTGTTCTGAAGTGATACACGTACACACATTTTGCAATTCATCGTTAGTTATATACATACATTTAACTCAGTAATAATTACATTACCTTATACTTATACTTATAATACCTATACAAAATGTTAATTAATAATAACTCAGGACAATTCACACAACGCCATTTAGTCCCAAGCTAAGCAGATTTTATGTTATGGGTACCATCTGCTAAACAACTGATACAATTACATAGATTTTTTTTGTAAATACTTACATATTCTTAGGATGAATATACATGTCTGTTATCCTACATAAGTATAAGAAGAAGGTTATGAGTAAGCAGGTTAGGTTAGGTCAAAATAAGCTTTTTTATAGATATTATGATATATTCTAAATTATCTATACCTATTTATATTGCGAATACAAACTATAAATATTCATAATACAAAAATAAGGATCGTTTTCTTATATATTTATATGATTGATAAATTATTTATTCACAAATTACAGACACGCATAATGAAAATACAGAAAAAATAAATATACAAGTAGAATAACTGGAGGTAGCTTTATGTGCCGCATAGGTGAATACTCAGCATTAACCTACAGAAAAATAATATATTTTTTCTCAACTAAATATAAATTAACCTGAAAAAGAACCCTTGAAATTTTGCTCGACTATATTGAGAATATCCGCGTTTAGCAATAGTTTTAGATCCTTAGCATATAAGTAGTCTATGTGGGACCATGTGTCACACGGGACTTGAATAAATTTTAACACATTTGGCAATCTGCCCATAAGTTTTTTAACATCATCAATTTGACCGAACCAGTCATTGAGACCATAGAAAATTATCACGGGTGATGTTACCTTCTCCACAGGATAATCTGGAGGTGTTAATAACCCGTATTTTGCTAAATTACTTGCGCCATAATCAAATTGTCCAAATTTTCCTGAATCAATTAACTGTCCGTAATGTATCAATTGTTTTGTCGCTATACCTGCAGGTAAATGGCCATATATAACAGGTAAGGCAGTAGTATTTATTTGATTGTAATCTGGACCTAATAGAAGAAAAACTAAATTATCACACACTATCGTAGATGTTGCTGGATTTCCACAAATTGAACTGATTATTAATTTCAATAATGCATTATGTGGCAGAAACTCATATATGCCAACTTCTTGTGCAGCTTCCCATAGCAATGAAATAATTGCACTCAACATTCGTAAAATTGGACTTTCGCAATGATATAAATATGACACCGCTGATAGTGCTATCATTACCTTTATTTTATCATTGTATTCGGGTCTCTCCGAACACAACACGAAGTATGATGTCGTACCCTGTGAATGACCAATATATACTAGTTGTTTCTGATCAGTCACATTCAAGACGAAATCAATCATAGCCGGCAGATCGTAGCGACCAATCTCATCCCAACTGAAATCCCAAAACTCTGCGCAGGACGGCGATAGACTAATGTGACTTCTGGAATGTTTGGTGCCACGAGCATTGCCCAGCCACACGTCATAACCAGCATCAGCAAGTAGATAGGCAAGACCAACGCCAGGGCCAGTAGTAACAAAATCATCAGAACTACAAAACAATCCGTGCATTACAAAAACAACAGGTCCATCATTTGGTATCCGGAACGTGGTCAAGATATAACCGTCGTTAGTCTGCACCTTATGTTGTTCTACTGGATAGCCATATTTAGTTAATAACTGTGTTATGTTTAGGTCTCTATCTTCATTATATTCAGTCGACTTGTACTCTTCATAAATAGATTCAATTGCTGTAATGTTGAACACCTTATCCAGTGCTCCGATATCGGTACTCGTATAATCTTTTATATTCTCAAATACATCATTTGGAACATTAGCGGTGTTTCTGTCAAACAAGCTACATTTCTTGCCATAAGTTGTTTTTAGTGTCACACATAAATTTATTATCACGAACAAAACATATCGAGTTATCATTGTATTGGAGAAAACAATATGTTGTATTCAATCTGAATGAAGCGCTTAGAGACCAATGTATACCATTACATTACGTCTTTCCGTTTTATACAAGTGACTACTTATTACACGCATATTAATAAATTACCTCCTTCTTTTAACAGAAAGCTGTCTTAATATTTGTAGAGACAAATTAAATTTTATTTATAGAAAAATACACTCGCGAGCAATCAAATCGACTCAAGCGCTACCTCTGCATTCAAACATTGTTTTAACTGAAAGTTGACAACATTTTAATAAAAACTAGCTACTTGCCCCGGCTCCGCCCGGGTGTACATTTATTATACATATAAACCTTCCTCTTGAACCACTCTATCTATTAAAAAAACCGCTTCAAAATCCGTTGCGTAGTTTTAAAGCTTTAAGCATACAACGGGACGAACAGACGGCGACAGCAACTTTGTTTTTGTATACTATGTAATGATAATATGTCATTTGAAAGCTTGAAACTTCAGCTTTTATGAGATGTCATCATTATTAATATCCATGGATACTTTTTTTTATTATTGGTGTCTGAACTTTAATGGGGGAAAAATGGGATTTTGGGTGAAGGAGTTGTGTTCAGAATTGGCATAAATAAAGCATAAAAGGGGATTGTTGGCATAAAAGGGGATTGTTAGTAATGTGGACTCATGACCCCATTGCTAGCAATGTACCATGTCAGGTTGACCTCCGCGCGGTTCCCCCTGGAAACTATCGTGATGAATTCCTGGTGAATTTGTCACGATGGGCTAACTGACCTGACCTCATGCTCATCTCATCATCCTCCTCTGGTGATCCGCCAGCGTAAACCGTTAGCGCAGGCGGACGCTCCATTCCATTATCATCCATAAAAAACAACACTCCTCTAACAAAGCTGCCTTCATTTCTTCTAGGCTCGAAGGAGCTGGATTTCTTGCTCGTACCCTTCGTTTGAGCTCGTCCCATAAATGCTCGATGGGATTTAGGTCTGGACTGAGTGCAGGCCAGTCCATTGTGCGCAAAATCGACTTCTAGAAGGAACTGCTGAGTAACGCGCGCTGTGTGGCATCGAGCATTGTCGTGCATTAGGATGAAGTCTTCGCCAACGAATCCTGCGTAGGGCACAATGATGTACTCATCAGCTGCCAGTCCTGCTCCTCGGCCTCCTCCAGGCACGAAAACGAGCTCGGTTTTACACTCCAACGAGATACCAGCCCACATCATGCAATAACCGCCACCATAGGCAACGGTTTCTGCGAAACAGCATTGGGAAAATCGCTCTCCCGGACGCCTATAGACCCGGCCTCTCCTGTCACTGCCATGCAGATACATCCTGCACTCGTCAGTAAACAGGACCGACCGCCATTGCCCAACGCTCCAGTTGAGATTCTCTCGAGCAAACCGTAACCGAGCTTACCGGTGGCCTGCAGTCAATTTGGGGCCCGTTGCAGGCCTTATTGGAGTCAGATTGGCTTCCTTCAGACGTCTTCTTACTGTCCACTTGCTGACAGCTACACCTCGAACACGTCTCAGCTCACCCTGCACGTCGACACCCGTAAGGTGCCGATTTCGCAGGGAGGTTGAGACAATGAAACGGTCGTCTCGTTCAGAAGTACAACGGTGGCGGCGGGTTGTTGGTCTCCGAGTGAATGCTCCAATCTCTTGATATCGTCTGTATACTCGGGATACAGCAGACTGACTTAAGTGAAACTGGGAAGCGACTACTCGCTGACTGAATCCTTGTTGCAATAAGGCAACAACTTGAGCGGCTTCTTGAGGTGTGGTATCCCTTGTTTCTTGAAAACAATGAATGCAGGTTGCGGAGATGTGTATCGGTCAACTGTTGATAAGCGACTGATAAGGGTCACGGGGGTTTTTATAGGGGTACAGGGTAGCGCAACTCGCAGGTAGCGTAGTGAGTAATTTGTCCCATATGCCCTAATTGCGCAAATGAACATGTTGGTACTTGTTTTATTTAATGGTGTTGATGTTTTTTTGAAAGCTTAGGTTTTAAGCTTTCAAATGACATATTATTTTTATTTAAATGTTGTATACTTTTATTTAGAACAATGTTTGAATGTAGAGGTAGCACTTGAGTCGATTTGGTTGCTCGCAAGTGTATATAAACTTGTTTTTCAGCTAATACGAATGCAGAATATTACCAATTTAACTGCCTACACGATTTTTTTTAATTATTATTATGACAAAAGTTTACATGACATAATATTCTTACATTATTTGTAAAAATATATACAAGTCTATATGTAATATTTATAATTTATTTATTTTATTTAGGCTAGGCTTAGCATAGGCTTTATTGCCCATTTTGTTAATATTACAGTTTTCTTAGAGTTAATATTAGTACTGAAAGGAGTTGATATAATTGAAACCCAAAATCATACTTTCCGTATAAAGTTTATTCTCCATACACGTATACAATCTCAGTACATAATGGATACCACTACAATGTTACATAAACTAAGCAATTAAGAGGCCTTTCACATTTTTTGGCCTAAAAGCAGTGTCTTTGGGGTTCTGGTTCTAAGAAATTAAGAGTCGGATATACATTTTGATTCCTGAATTATATAGATAGATATCTAATCTTAAAAACAACATCTTTGAAATGTTAATTTTCTCTTTGTTAGTCTTCCTAATTTCTAAAATAGTTTATTCAAAAACGCTAAATGACAGAAGTTTGGGGTCGTCGTTCATTAATAAACAAACATAAATTGATATGATATCTTTACTAAAACTTGATAATTACTTTATACATTGAGACAGCATCGTCCTTTTTTTCATTTTCAACTTAAATATCTAAAAAATTGATCACAATTAAACCCGAAATTTCAACAAAACTTTGCCATAATCATTTCTAATTTTCTCATAAATACAACGAAATTTTTGCATAAAAAAAACATAATAATAAAGTTAATATACTTGTAAATTAGAAATATGAAAAAAAAATATAAGTTTCTAAGAAAAAAATAAACAATAATAATAATTGAAAGTTGTATAAATTCCGTTGCGCCAAAAGTAAATTCTCAGTGCTGCGCTAGCGCTCGTCGAGGTAGGACCTATGCCATTTTTTACAACACCGCTAAGATAAGACATTCGTCAGTGAACATTAGTATAGAGCGACTAAACCATTTTGATAATTTAAGTAATATTTAATTAATTTTGCTAATATATACTTATTTCTACGAATATTAATTTAAAGTCGTTGTTAAATATATATATAATATTTATTTTAGCATGCCAAGACAAAAGTACAGGTATGCTACAAATAAAACCTACCTACCCTGCTGGATTATGAAAAGCACAAGAGCATGGTATTTCGTCACACTAATGGCAATTAATTGTTAAAATTAAAAAAGAAAACATTTTAGTATTTTTAAAAATAACGCTTATCTGAGAGAAAAATGTAAGAAAATGTAAACCAAATTTACTCTATGTTTATTTTGTAGTTTTTTTCTAAATTAAAATAGGGTTATTGTTTATAAAAATACCATTATTATTTTTACGTACATTTGTCTTGTGTTATATAGTGTATATCATCTAGTATGCAATGTGGATTGTAAATAAATTACCAAATTATATATAAATTATATTCCTTAATGTTTAGAGATATTTTATCCAATTTTATTTTATTTTACACAATACAGATATTTCTAAATTGCAGCTATTCTGTTATTATACTCGTTGGACTTTCATTACTGTACAGTTATGTCAAATAATTATGCGTGTTTGGGTGAAAAGTCAACAACATTATAAATGTTTTTATTTAGAGACTAGCTTTTAGCTCGCGGCTTCGCCCGCGTGAATATGGGATATATAGGTTATCGCGCGTTTAAAGATCCGTGTACAGTATTGGGACGTTATATAGAAACCTTCCTCTTGAGTCTATCTATTCTGTCTATTAAATAACAACGAATCAAAATCTGCGTAGTTTTTTAAGATCAAAACATACATAGATCTATTACATGTGTAGATGATATTTTAACCGGAAATTGAAGCCGTTAAAATGGTATTGGCAGATCAGTTGGAATCATCAGTATTCTTGGTATATAAGCTGGTTGCCCAGCTAACGTACCGGTTATAATGGTCTACAATTAAATTGTCTTTCAATTCTTTAGTAAGCAATATATCCAATGGGACGCCATTGCACATGTTCGGCGGGCTTAAATTTCATGACTGGATCATGCTTTTGAGAAATTCCTTCCTCAAGTTTGAGCATTTAGTGTGGGAAATCACTATCTGTGCTTCCATAAAAATGAGCTCTCAAATTTGTCAGTAGTTTTAAACTTTCAATTAAAGTCCATAAGGGAGACGATGTTAATGACACAGAGAGTCTTTCAGAAATCTCCAGCAAAAGTATAAAAGTAATCCCGCCAATGAGAGCAGAGGTGTTTCTAAGGTCTTTTAAGGTTCTGTCCAAAATCTCTATAGCTCATGGTGATTTCATTACATATAATCAATGAGGCGTCTTATAATAATTTATAAAAAGGTTTGACATTAACAATTAATTATTTATCAAGAATCAAGAATCGGCCAACCAAGAACGAGAAGCTGCAATATCAGCCAATATCATGCGGCGACGTCAATGATGCAGGAACAGCAATGATAGCAGTTGAAGCTTTTTTTTTTACAACTTAGAATGGCAAACAAGCTGACGGCTCTCCTGATGGAAAGGGGTAACCGTCGCCTATATACATGAGCAGTACCTGCCATGTTCATATCACCACATTGTTTCCCTCATGCGTTGCCATTCCTGAAAACTCGGGTGTTATTCCCCTGTACCTTGTAAATTCACTACCATATATATACACAGGTAGTCTATATAGATAGATATACATATACACAGATAGTATACCCTGAGAAAGGTCATAGACTACTTTATAGTGCGAAAAAAGTATTGTAACGGATTAAATGCGGAGATGAAAGGTTGTAAAAAAGTATCGTCATTGTTTAATTAAAACAAAGAAACTTTTTTAGGTTATAAT